AAATCCCTTTATTTCTATATTTCTATATCCCCATGAAGGAGTACCGGGGATTGAACCCAGGAGTGCTTAACCACTAATCCACATCCCCAGCCCTTATTATATTTTATTCAGAGACAGGGTCTCGCTGAGTTACTTAGGGTCTCACAAAATTGCTGAGGCTGGCTTTGAATTCATGATCCTCCCGCCTCAGCCTCCCAATCTGCTGGAATTATAGGCATTAAAGGTGTCAGAGAGAGGGAGAGACCCTGTGAACAGCAACTCTGACCACTAAACACAGGAGACACTATCTTGGTACTCAGTATGGGAGGAGGGTATACCTACAATACATGGTACCACCGTGTCTAGCAACCTACATCCCTATATTTATCACATATAAAACTACATCAATTATAAGATACACCATTATTTATAGAACTACTAATTTAAAAGACACTAACTAGAATACTATGACATACCATCAATTTGAAGATGTGTCCCAAATTCAGGAATGTCAAAATGTTGGGGAAAAAAGACATGTATTAGAAGTAATGAGTTACAATAATAAATGTTCAGCAAATGTTTGTAAAACTGCAACCCAAGGTGGAGCAAATCCTCCTAAAGCCCTCTGACAGCCTAGTAGTTTATCCAACAGTTAAAGGGATTAGTGGCCTGATGTGCCATCCTTATTAAAAAAAAACAAAAACAAAACCAAAAACATCCATGTCTCCCACTCAATATATTAAAAGGCCCAATGATAATATATTCCAATCAAAATTGGGAAGGGACACAGAATGTGACAAGTGGGAGTAAGAACAGAGACAATGGACAGGGTATTTATGTTTGCCTTGATTCTGGTTCTTTAAGGCAGTTCAACCCATTGCTGTTCACATCTGCCCATGAAGAGAAACATGAACTTTCCAACTTTCTCCCAGCTTATTTTAGACCCGCTTTTATTTATTTATTTTTAAATAAATTTTTTAGTTATAGACACAATACCTTTATTTTACTTATTTATTTTTATGCAGTGCTGAGGATCAAACCCAGTGCCTCACATGTGCTAGACAAGCATTCTGCCACTAAGCCATAACCTCAGCCCCCTGCTTTTATTTTTATGTGACTCCTTTTCAGATACAAACTGTTAGCTTTGTGGCTTTGGCTTCCCTTTCTCTGTGGCCCTCTGGAGTTGGTGACTGTATAATGTATCCCTGGCCAGTTTCTATACCTAGGCTTTCTGTAGGGGGCTTTCTGAATCTCAGTATCCCAGGCATCTCATTAAAAATCTGTGTTCCAAGGCTGGGGTTGTGGCTCAGTGGTAGAGCACTTGCCTAGCATGTGTGAGGCCGTCCGTGGGTTCAATCCTCAGCACCACATGAAAACAAATAAATAATATAAAGGTATTGTGTTCGTCTACAATTTAAAAAAAAAAAAAAAAGAGTCTATATTCCAGCTGGGTGTGGTGGCACATGCCTATAATCCCAGTGGCTCGGGAGGCTGAGGAAGGAGGTTCGTGAGTTCAAGGGCAGCCTCAGCAACTTACAAAGGCTCCAAACAACTCAGCTAGACCCTGGCTCTGAATAAAATATAAAAAAGGGCTGGGGATGTGGGTCAATAGTGATGCACCCCATGGTTCAATCCCCAGTACCAAAAAAAAAAAAAAAGAATCTATATTCCATTTCCATCTAGCTTTCCTGACCCTAAAGCTGGGCTAAAGTATGAACTTTTCTTGTCTGAATTTCCCTCTGCCACACTTCTGCCACCCCCACACCAAGTGCACACTTGTGAAAGATAAAGCTAATTGCCACTGAAAACCTTAAAGAGAAATTCTCCTAGAGTGAAAGCTCCGAAATGCATTGGCCCACACCTATAATTCCTGCAGCTCGAGAGGCTGAAGGAGGAGGATCACGAGTTTGACACCAGCTTCAGCAACTTAGTGAGGCTGTAAGCAACTTAGGGACAACCTGAATCAAAATAAAAAAGTAAAAGGACTGGGTATGTGGCTCAGTAGTTCAGTCACCATATGCCCCCCATATATATTGTTTTCAAACTATTAGGGCTGGGATGTAGCTCAGCAGTAGAACACCTAGCATTAGTGAGGCCCTGGGTATGATCCCCAACACCGTAAAAAGAATTATATTGAGAATATCAAACCTAGTGGCTTAATACAATGTGAACTATTTTTAAACACATAAGCACCTCTGCACACTAGCATCCAGGGGAAGAGAGTCTTTTTGTTTGTTTGTTTGTTTGTTTTTGTGGTGCTGGGGATTGAACACAGGGCCTTGTGCATGCAAGGCAAGCACTCTACCAACTGAGCTACATCCCCAACTATTTGTATGATTTTAATTAATTTTTTATTTATACATGACACCAGAATGAATTACAATTCATATTACACGTATAGAGCACAATTTTTCATATCTCTGGTTGTATACAAAGTATACTCACACCAATTTGTGTCTTCATACATGTACTTTGGATAATAATGACCATCACATTCCACCATCATTTCTAACCCCCTGCCCCCTCCCTTCCCCTGCCATCCCTCTGCCCTATCTAGAGCTCGTCTATTCCTCCCATGCTCCCCCTCCTTGTTTTTTGTTTTTTAAATATTTATTTTTAGGTGTAGTTGGACACAATAACTTTATTTATTTTTATGTGGTGTTGAGGATCGAACCCAGTGCTTCACACATGCTAGGAAAGCACTCTACCACAACCTCAACTCCAGAAGGAGAGTCTTTAGGGGGCAAGGGCAAAGGGATAATTTTAAGGGGACAATAAGGAAGAGAATCATATAGGGCAAAAAGTTCCTAGTTTGCTTTTGTGCCTAGACCCTTGCAGGGAAGCCAGTGACCACCAAAAACCTGAAAATCATCTCCCCCTTTGAGGCAGGCTGCTGGAGCCTGTGTTAAGTTGATCAGGATTAGGTCAGAAAGCTCCAAAGATTATCATCTTCCAATTTAGTCCAGACTTCCCAGGCCAGCCAAGCCCCATTCGGCCTCCAGGTCAGCATACTAGCATTCAAGGAAGGACAGTCTCCATGCAGTGCCTTCCCTGATCTCAATGAATAGAGAAAGGAGAAAGGAGGAGAAAAGGCATCATTTACTCATTCCACTGATTTATTGACACAGTAGTTGGAGATTTTCAAACTATAAAAAGAGCCTGCTTGGGGGCTGGGGTTGTGGCTCAGGGGTAGAGTACTCACCTAGCATGCGTGAGGCACTGGGTTTGATCCTGAGCAGTACATAAAAATAAAATAAAGGCATTGTGTACACCTATAACTAAAAAAATAAATATTTTTTTAAAAGAGCCTGCTTATATTTTCTTGGCAAAATAGATCCTTGAAGTATAAGAACTGAATGCACCTGCCAGGTGTGGTGGCACATGACTGTAATCTCAGTGGCTCAGAAGGCTGAGACAGGAGGATCACAAGTTCAAAGCCAGTCTCAGCAACATTGAGGCACTAAGCAACTTGGTGAGACCCTGTCTCTAAATAAAATACAAAATAGGGCTGGGGATGTGGCTCAGTGGCCAAGTGCCCCTGAGTTCAATCCCTGGTACCAAAAAATGAATTGAATGTACCAGATATGGTGGGAATTTTACTTTGTCACAGCTATAGTTACACTTGCAAATAAAATCATTGAGGTGAAATCACGGAACATTAAAACTGAACAGAAACTTTAAGAGAGACAGAATGTGTCTCAATGTATTGTCCAGCCTAGCCACAAACTCCTGAGCTCAAGGGATCCTCCTGTATCAGCCTCCTGAGTAGCTGGGACTACAGATCTATGCTAACATGTGCAGCTCTGAAAAAAAAATCATGATGAAAGATCTCAACTCCCTCATTTTACAAATGAGAACTTTATGGCCTAGGAGGTTAATTAGTTGATGGGAGAACAAGCACTAGAATCAATGTGTCTCACTCCCAGTTTGGGGATTTTCCCTTTTGGAAAGATACCCAAACTCTTACAATTGTATCCCACCCTCATAATCTGTGATTACATTTGGTTCATTTGGCTAAAAATACCATGCCAATGGAGCTCCAAGTATAAGAAATCTTGATGATTAATACAAACAAATGTAAAGAATCAGCTGACCATCATTTCCACCAAAGGGCAGAGGCAGTACATTTGTAGTCTTCATAAGTATAAAACAAAATATCATTGCCTGGGCCCCTTACAGGGCTGGATGACTATATAAATCAAGCTAGCTCATTGAAAACTTATCTAGATGACATCCAACATCTTTCACTGTAGTCTGGGTCTGGTGATAGAAGCTGAGCAAGGACATTTCCTCCTGGTGGAATTTTGGAAGAACTGTGTAAACAACGCCCCTTGCTGGTCAACATGAGATAATGCAAGAGCCACTAGCTGAAAAAGCAGGGCTCTAGCAAAGGTCACAGCAATGTCTCTCAGTCTTCTAGTCTATGGGAACCATGTCCAGGTCAAAGGAGAAAGCATGGAAAACAGCAGGAGGGAGAAAAAAACTGCATTTTTTCCTGAGATGTTTACATGTGCCTAATTAAGGTTAGACCCCAAAGAAAGCAGATACATTTTTGGTATCCCATTGAGTTTGAACAGGCAACTAAGAGACTCACAGACATATGTTATGCTTATACATATAAACAATATTTTTATTGTTAACATCAATGAACACAGATGGGAGAATATCCATGTGCCAAGGACATATTGCTCACAGGATCAAAAATGACTGTTGATTTGTATTCATAATTGATCTGGTGAATTACTATGTATTTTTGACTCAAATATAGATATATATGTATATCTATTTATGGATATACAAAAGAAATTTCTTAGGCTTCATTTCCATTTGTATTCTCGAAATCACTTCATTAGAAAGAGAAAGCAGAAACTTTGAAATGAACATCTATGTTTTACAGATATTTTGATGCAGCAAAAGTGAAAATTACATCCCATTACATACATTTTAAGTAGTATGCAAAGATAGCATAATAATCATTGATTTGGCTCAATAACTTGCTTAATGAAAGGCTTTTTTTAACTTTAAAAAAAATCTCCAGTAAAGTGGTTAAGGGTGTCTGGTGACCTTATCATGGTAGCAAAGTGTTTTCTAAGCAATTCCAGGGCTTTGTTATTTCTTGCTTGCAGGGTCTTCTCAGCTCTCAGTTCATTCTTGATGGCATCCAGCTCTCCACGGATCTTGTCCATTTCTAATTCATAATACAATTTCATTTCTTCTTTTAGGAGAGCATTTCCTATTTCAGTTTGACGCTTTAATTTCCTAACAGCTTCTTTTAAATTTCTGTTCTCTAGGTTCAAGTTGTGGATAACTTCTTTGGCTTGCTGGAGCTCCTCAGTTAAGTTTTTTACATCTGTCGCTTTTTCGGATAGGTCATTTTTTAAAGCTTGAAGTTCCCTGTCATTCTTCAAAGTATCTGTCCCTGTCTCTTGAAAATTTAGGGATTTCACAGAAACTTCTTTCTTGGAGTTTAAAAGTTCTTTTTCAGCATTTTCAAATTCCTCTTCTATTTTTCTGCATTTCATATTAAGTTCTTCTAGTTCTTCATTTAAAAGGTTCAGGCGAAGTTTTGGAGACATTCCTTCAGTTACTTTCTTCCTTGGGGCTTGTCGTGGTATGATTGGTAAATCTTCTTTACTCCAGGCACAGGAGTCTTCTATTCTGTTTAAGCTTTCTTCCGATACAACATCCAAATTAAATGATTCACTGGAGACAGACTTTATGTCTGGCTCATTCTTTGACATGTTTATCCTTCTCTCTCTTACATTTGGTTCTTGTTCTCTTTCATTTAGTTGAGAAACATATTCTTTCCTCTTAAATTTATTTTCTTCCTGAAACTTTCTACTGGACAGATTATAATTTCCTTCCATTCTCTTGGTGTTATCTACAACTATTGGTTCACAAGAAGATTCAGTGTTAGAAGCCTCTTCTAGAACATCCTGTGCGCTAAAATGATGAGTAAACATATTCTCCTTCCAGTGTTTTCTTCTAGCATCCATTTCTTTAGGCACCTTTTCCAATTCCTGAAAAACAGAATTTAAAATCAAGGCACATTACTTACACTGCTGTAGAAAGAAATAAGTAAGGATGCTGGTTCACAGGCAAAGGAACTTAACCATTTGAGAGCTGGCCCTCTAACTCACAGAGTGACTATGACCTCAGTTTTCTCAATTACCAATAAAAATGGCCGAACAAGCTAAGTTCTACAGACTCTTTTTTAAGATTTCGGTATTTTTGCTTAGAGTTACATATCAGTTTTACTTTTCTCTTTTTAAATTTAAAACCAACAGTAATAAAGTTTCCAATATTTTAAAAAAAACAAAATACAAAAATTAATCAAGAATGTATTTTAAAATTAATGGAACACAAATACATTTTACAATTGATTATTAAAATCTTTTTCCATGGTTTCAGCTTGCAAGGGTTATTTCTACAGTATGAAACACTATGCAAACTGATGACAGATTTTATTATACACCCAACCATCTAATCAGCAGGTATTTTTCTATAACAGCATTATATTTTGTGTGAAAGCTCTTTTAGAGACCTTCTGGTTATATCATAAATCCATATTACTCAGCTACACCTATTTATTCAAAGAGAAATTTATAATAGTTTGGAATAATTTGAGCTCATTTAGGGCAAAATTATTTCTCTAACCCCTATGACACTATACATTCAAACACTAATTTGAATTTACCAATAATGGCACCATGATACTTCACTTTTGTCCTTCTTTGTAGTCACTTGAAAAAATATAAATTTTTAAGAGTGCAGAAATTAAATCTCAAAATATATACTATATCTTAATTTTTATTTTGGTAAAAGAATAGACTCTGGGAAGAAGTTTATCTGTATTTCCCAGGATACATTAATGTAACTAAAAACTGCTAATTCCATACTTTTGTTTTCTGTGTAATGCTACTTACATTTTGTTCACTTTATTACCATTGTTTCTGGTCTAGATTTAACTTTACCTTGCTTCTGTAAAATAGTTTGAGAAAAATTTTCTAACATTCATAGCATTTCTTCATCTCAGTATCCCTGTAGTTAACTGCCTGTAACAGATTCACTCTTTCATACTATACTATCTGAAAATTAGAGCCTCTATAGACCCTTTTAACTTTAAAATTTTTCTACCATATGAAATATAACCAGTGAATTGATACATCTAGCTACTTATTGTAAATGAAGTGATTCTATGAAGAAGCAACTGTACACATCAAAAGACTGCCTTCAAATAATAAGTAATGTGAAATTAATAGGCTAATATAGTTAGCACCCATGCTTTCAATATATCTGATTTTCTCAAGTACTTTTGGATGGGACTACTGTTTACTCATTCCTTAAGGTGACTAAAACATCAGGTTTTAATGCAATGTGAGCTACTTTGGGTATAGTATACCATGCAGACTTCCTTAAGATTAACTCTGCCAAATGCCCTTCTGTCTTGACCTATAAATTCCTGCTATTCCAGTCTTGGGCTTTGCTTTCAGGCAACATTGCCAAGTATACAGAATTCTATCTGTTTTGACAGCAATTTCATGATGAGAACCTAATGTCAACATTTGAAAATATTAATGCCATCGCATGTATTTTCTCAAGATATTGACTCTGAGTATAGTTTTTAGGTGAAAGCTTAGCATATTAAGTGACAACCAATGTCCTTATAAAAATTAACAGATATGGGCTGGGGATGTGGCTCAAGCGGTAGCGCGCTCGCCTGGCATGCGTGCGGCCCGGGTTCGATCCTCAGTACCACATACAAAGATGTTGTGTCCGCTGAAAACTAAAAAATTTAAAAAAAATTAACAGATAATTATTTTGTTTTATAAGGAGTCTTTCCTACTCAAATGGAATCTTTAATGTACAGTTTTCCTAATACACTGAAATATTTGATCAGTAACTACCTCAGAGGGAAGAGAGAAAGAAGGACCCAAGCATCTCAATCCACCAAATGGATAACTGCAGCTACCCAAAAATAGTAGGGAGAAGGAGGGAGCCACTTTGTTCATTTTATATACTGACCAGCCCCCACCACACACACACACACACACACACACACACACACATATATATATAAAATCACCACTGAGAAAAATCCAAGTATGTCTGCATCTTTTTAAAAAAATATTTCTTTAGTTGTAGATGGACATGATATCTTTATTTAATTAATTAATTTATTTTTATGTGGTGCTGAGGATTGAACCCAGTGCCTTATACATGTGAGGTAAGTACTCAACCACTGAGCCACAGCCCCAGCCCCTGCCTACATCTCCTTTATCCATGCATGCAAATGTCATTTTATTTTCTTCTGGTAATGAAAAATGGCAAATGTATTTATTTTTAAATTAATATTGTCTTTCGTTATTTGTAGCAATTTTGGAAAACATAGAAAAGCACATGGGTGTGTACATCCATGGGCCCACACACATGGAATCGTCCCATGGCCCTGAGTAAATGATTTTTTGGTGTATTATCTCTCATCTATTCTTTTTTAGCCCCGAAGTTTAAATAACAGGTTTGCCCTACTATTGGCAATGAATGAATAAACTTGATACATGCAGATATTGAATATGCCCCCTCCCTTCCACCCTCACACACAAACAAAGAGAATGAAGGGACTCACTATCCCAAGGGTGCATCTGTACTTGGCTTTCAGGAAAAGGAAAGATAAAAATATTCTTAAAATAAACTCTTTAGAGATGAAAAATTCAGTAAAGATATTAAAATTATTATGAAAAAGGCATAAACCAAGCTCTATTAAAGTTTAGTCAAACCCACTTGAATCAAAGTGTGGAATATGATATGTCAAGAAATTTGTAATGTTTTGAACAACCAACAATAAAAAATTAAAAAAAAATAAATAAAGTTTAGTCAATCAGAACTGAGGTTGTAGCTCAGCAGTAGAGCAATTGCCTAACATGTGTGAGGCCTAGGTTTCATCCCCAGCACCACACCCACCCACACACACACACACAAGTTCAGTCAATCAGGACTGGGGATGTAGCTCAGTGGGAGAACTCTTGCCTTCATATGTGAGGCCCTGGGTTCCATCCCTAGCAATACACACACACACACACACACACACACACACACACACATTTATTCAACCAGACTATAGTGATTAACTCAGACGTGAAATTTGTGGTATATATTTGCCATTGGAACATCATCTCCTTTTTCTTGAAATAGTCCTTTCTGACTTTTATTATTCTACCAGTCACAATCCAGAAGCATCTTTGATCCATTTTTTTTTCTGGTACCAGGGATTGATCCCAGGGGCACTTAACCACTGAGCTACATTCCCCAGCCCTTTTTCATATTTTATTAGAGACAGGGTCTCTCTGAGTTGCCTAGGGCCCCCGCTAATTTGCTGAGGCTGAGTGTGAACTCTCGATCCCTCTGTCTCAGCTTCCTGAGTCCCTGGGATTCCAGGCATGAGCCACCATGTCTGGTTCTATCTGTTCTTAAAGGAGAAGATTATCATTAATTCTGGCTTCCATTCTTTATAGAAGTAAGAATACAGATTATTAACAGCAATCACGAAGGAAAGGGACAGAGACAGGAGAAATGAGTACAATGCTACTTGCCAGGCACATTTTTTTAGCAGGCAAATTTTTACCACACAATTCTGTAAAAAAGCAAAAATAGTGCTAATCCAGTAACAATAGCAGAGAGATTCTTATTCCTCTTACTTAATTCTGGATGAAAGACATTGGTGGGATTGATCAGGAAGCAAGTGAGCACAGGGCCAAGTCGGGTGAGACCACTTACTTTATACCTGGAGATAGCAGTAATAAAACATCTGAGATAGACATCTGGGTATAGATAGAAGTTAACATAGAAAACTCTCTTCATTAATAATTTTGCTCCTTGAAAAAGTGGCATCTCTGTTCACCCTTTCCACAAATCTCTGGAGACACACACATACACACCCTTTTTGATTTTTACTGGCTTTCCTCCTTGAGCCTTATAGAATTTCCAGGGTGTCTGAAAGGAAATGCTTCCAATGAATCCTATACAGCCAGGGATTTTCAAAGGACTGGGGAGAGTCATTTTGTAACAGAGTCTCAGAGAAATTAAATGACTAGACCAAGGTCACACAGCCTGTGGTGGTAAATCTGAAGTCCAGTCTCCAGCTCAGTGCTTATTTTAAGTTCCTCTTTACTCATCTGCTAGGTTTCATTCCACAAACTGAAAGAAAACAACCTACTACTTTTAGAGCTTAGGTATCTTTTTAAAAGCCACAAAAGGAAAGACAGAAAAGGAAGCGGGGAGGGTAAGGAGAACTGCATGTTTCATATCAAAGGATAGAAAGAGAAAGGTTTGAAAAGCCTTTTAGAATTTCTCTCCTATGGTTTACACAGGATAAGGTCAAGGGGTCTCTAAGCTGCTCCTCTCTCAACTGCTTTCTTTCATTGGCAAGATACCCTTTAAGGACTTGTTCACAAATTTAGTCAAGAGTATCACAAAGTCCAGAGTGGGGTAAAGGCTGCCAGTCACATTCATGTTCTCCCTCTGTCTCTCTCTCTTTCTTAGTTCTGGGGATTGAACCCAGGAACATTATACCTCTGAGCTACATCCCTAGCCCTTTATTTTTTATTTTATTTTGAGACAGGGTCTTGCTAAGTTACCCAGGTAGCCTCAAACTTGTGATCCTCCTGCCTCAGCCTCCAGAGTAACTGGAATTACAGGCATGCACCACAAAGCCTGGCCTCATTTCTCTTCACCAACTGCACTGTTTTATTTTTTACGCAGAACAAGTATGTAATTAATACTCTCTGGCAAGGACAAGGAATATGCTTTGGAATAATGACTTTCTTCTACCCTGGGCTGGCAGCCATATTTTTCCTCAATAAACTTGACTAGGTAATTTGTTGCAGCTGAAGTCAAACCAAACCAGAAGCCATAATTGAAACTGTAGCCAGGCCTGGTGGTGCACACCTGTAATCCCAGCAGCTCAGGAGGCTGAGGCAGGATGATCAGGAGTTCAAAG